CCCCAAAACCCCAAAACCCCAAAACCCCAAAACCCCAAAACCCCAAAACACCGAAATTTGATGATTTAAATTATAAAAAGAGATATTTTAAATGTTTGATGTAATTATATAGTCTTAAATGTGTGGAAGTTTGTATTATTGTAGGTGTGTACGTGTGTATTGATTAGGTTTGTTATACTCAATTTAATCATTAAAATGTAGTTTTAGGAACTGGAGATTATTGAAGTGGCACTATTTCCACTAAGTCAATGTTGATAGCCTTCATACTGAGACCATACCTTCCAAAGTATGCTAGTTTGTTGTAGGCGAATCTAATAACGTAATTGTCCCTGGCATTCACAAATTACTCTTTGACCAGCTGGGTGCTTTTCATATCATCAAGATGAAAGAAAACGTCTTTTCCATCTGTATCTCCCACCAAAAATCCGTAATTATCATTCTCATAAAAGAACTTCAAGGTTCCTGTCACTTTCATAGTGTCAGGATTCACAGGTTGTTACTAGGCCTGCATTTGCTGGGGGGCTCCGATACTTTAAATTTCATCAATTCTGACAAAAGAACCAGATCTGTCTGAGTTCTACAAGCCAGAGTATTATCTTAAGTGAGGCTAGTATGGATTCTACTAAAGAAGTGAGTTTTAAGTATGCTGGAGATGCTCGAAATTCAAAGACTAATGACCATAAAGTCTTCTTGGATCTTGAGTCTGCATCATTTAAGGTGACATAACATTAGAAAAGTCCATTTATGTTCTGCCATACATTTAAGGTCTTTGTTGTACATTAAGAATAGGCATATTTCCAGGTTAAGAGAAGTTTTTCTTAGGAACAAATGGCTAGCTTGTCGGGTTCAAGTTAATTTAAGCTCCAATTCCACCAAGATTCGACAAATTTGAGGTGCTATTCAAAGTTTGAGTATTCAAATCTGATGACTTTTCATCGTGTTCTTCCTGGATACTTAAAAGTGGTGCGTTATTACTCTGCATAGATTTCAGGTAGGATTATTAATCAGCTGGTGAGTTAAAATGTTGAAAGCCTGGGCTCTACATGTTCGTCGTTGTCATCGCATGCTGTTGATTCTGATATATCCTGTTCATTGGCATTTATTAGGGCGATTATTACAATCCACTGATGTTTAGCTAACCGACTAAGAGTCCATTTTCTGATTGAGTCTTTTTCATGTTGGCTAAGGATATTTGGTTGAATTGCTATTAGTTTTGAAGAGGTGATCCCATCATAGCATGCTGTTGATTTTGCATCTGCTATTGCTAGTTAAGCCCCTAAAGTAGCTATTAGTGTTGCAGTAGGGAATTCTAACTGAGAGAGTGAGGCATTTACTACTGTTGCTGCATCTACTATTATTGAACCATAGTCTATGATAATTATTGGTGCTAAGAGTACTGTTACATTGGCATCTATTGTGGTTGTTGCTACTGTTATGGTTATTACTATTAAGGAGGTGGTTGGTTATTTTGTCTCACCAACCGATTCTGATCCATCAATTAAAATCTTAACTATTCAATACTATTTGAAATATCTTAGTTCTGCTGCTGTTATTGCTGTTAGGAATTTGGTGCAGTTCCTCCGCCAGAAATTTCTAATTGATTCTAGTTCTAGTTTTAAGATGAAGAGCTATTCGTGCCAGGGGAAGAATTTGGTTTAGATGAACTCATATTAGACCCGATGGTGCTATTTGTATTGAGTGGACTTACATTGTTATTCTACAAGGATCTTTCTTATATTTAGTCTATCATATTAACCTTTTGCTAGTATGCTTTTAAGTCACTCTATCCTTCAGAGTCATATTATTACTGAGAACGAGTGTTAAACAGCTTGTGGAACTGGAATTTAGAGTATGCCTCACAACAGGTTAATGGTAAAACTTGTCTCGGACTTTTCAACAAAAATGACAGGTGAGGCTTATTATTCTATAAACCTGCAAGTTGGTTAACGCTATTTTGACTCTCACCATCTTTGACAATTTAGTTATCTATATATTTCCAGGTATTGAGTTCCTGTCTTTCGTTAAAGTACACAATGCTAAATGTGTAGTTTTGAGCCAGAGCACAAAACGCTAGCAAGATAGTCTGATCATTAGAAGGATCCTCTAAATTGTCGAGAAATTCCTTGGCATCCAAAGAGTTGATAGTTTCTCTGGGATGACATATGTCATCAATGACAGTTTGAAGCGTCTTGAGATTGATATTAAGGAACGTGATTAGATCATGTCTGATATCTAGATACTTGCTATCATCAAAATAAAGAGTCTGAGATACTGCAGAGTACAGTATCAAACTAGGATGGGCTGGCTAGGCATTATTGCATCTATTGAGAAGATTACTGTATTGGCTATCAGCATGAAGGAAAAGACCTTTTGCCTTTAGGAATTCAGAAAGTTTCGCTTGGATATGTTAGTCCTGAAGGTCTTGGTATGAAGCATTGCTCAACATCTCATTCATTGAATAGAGATTCTACTTAAGATTATGCATAGTCTGATAAAAGGATATATAAAAGAGCTTCACACTTCAAGGATCTACCTCTTTATTTTATTATTATTTTATTCCTATTGTTTATTATCATCACTCATCTCTGGGGTTTTGGGGTTTTGGGG